GGCCCGCGGGGGGGGGAGCGAGTACTCGAGTACTTCACTCAGCTGCTCGCTGGCATCCCTAGCCTGGAAGCCGCACGCTGGCAGCCGGGAGGGGCAAGGAGGCCTGTGAATAGGATTGAGGGTTCTAGGGGCAGCATGGCCCTTCCTGCCGCTTGTCTCAAGTGATCACAGCCAGGATGCTCTTCCTACAGGGTAGGTGGCCCCTCCTGCTGCCACCTGTGCTCCTGCAGCTCCGCTCCTGTCCTTAGCATGCTGGCTCAGGCAGGGCCCATGCCCCCAGCGCCACCCGCGGACGTGACCTACAGACCAAGCCCCCCAGAGCTCCTAGCCAGCTGCCAGTGCGGCCCCCCTCTGGCTAAAGTGTAGGCTCTCTCCCTGGGCTTCTGCCTGCCCTGTCCTGTCCCCTCCCCTAGTGCCTGTGCTGTGGCCTCCTCCCCCTCCAGGTGGATTCACGGAAGCAACCAAAAAGAAGATCCTGGACACGCTGGGCTTCAGGAACATCCACCTCGAGGAAAGCACGTGGTAGGTTGCTCGTGCCGCTCCGTCCCCGCTGGCTGGGCCCTGGGGTGCAGCTCGGGGGCTGTGGACCCGAGCGCTTCCCGCACGCGACCCTGAGCCATCACTAGCCCAGCCGGCCTGCTCCCCCAGTCCTCCTGAGACCACTGGTTTGGGGGGTCCCCAGCGCGTCCCAGGGGCCTGCTGCACCTCGTGTGCGTGGCTGCGGCATTTCTCCGAGCCCCCGGCGGCTGTACGCATGGGGAAGGCGGCTCCGGGAGACCGGTCCATTCCATGCATCGCGGGGGAGTCGGTTCTGCATTTGGAGCTAGGGAGCGAGGCCGTTCTTCTGTCCAACCCCCCGCCCCCGGGTTAGCCGCTGTTTCCAGAGTGGTGACCCTTCCCCCAACACGGGCAGGCTCCCCGCGGGACTCACGGGCAGGTGGTGCTTGGCACGCAGGCCTGGCCCCTGCAGCCTCCATGTCTGTCCCCTCCCCTGCCACGTGCTTGGGCCTCAGCCCAGTAGGCAGGGCCCTGCCGGCTCTTGCGCATTTCAAGAGCAAAGCGCCCCGGGGGCAGCGGGGGGCTGCTTGCATTCCCCGCTGGCCGGGCTCCCCGCGGCACGTCCGCCTTGGAAATGCAGCAAGCGCCGAGGCGCCCTTATGGACTCATCGACTATTCGATTAGTTGAACATCCCTAGTTCGGCTTGGGGACTCCTTCCTTGGCTGGCGGGAGGGCAACGCCTGCTGCTGGCAGCCAGCTTCTCCTCCGGGGCGGGC